GGAGGGGTGGGTGCTCCCAGACTCACTTGGGTTCAGCCACCAAGGAGAGTGGAGGCCGGAGGAGACGGAGGCTGGGGTAGTTCTTACTCTGCTCCGGGCTTTCCGCAGAGGCCGCCCGTCCCTCCAGCTCCTGGTGTCGGCCCTTCATTTAAGTCTCTTGAACTCCAACAGGTGTTGGAATCTCCTGCTGGGCCCCCAACTAATACCCCATAAGATGACACCCTTGACTGGTGTCCACTAGGACAGTGTTGGCCTGATTTGCTGGTCACTGATGGCCATCAACTACGTTAACGCTGGTGGTTCCACTGGTACGGCTAGAGGATAAAATCACTAAGTCTCTAAACTAACGGCCTGGAACCTGTACCTCCAAATTTCATTGCCTCCTCAAAGTCAACACCTTGGGATGCTTTAATACCTATTCCTATGATGTTCAATATGTTAAAATATGTTGAGGTGGCCTTTTAAGATTTCCTTTAGTGTTCATACACATTACTTTGAATAATGCTGGAAAATGGTCCTCCTTTGATGTGAAAATAAGCAATAATTCCATTGTTTATACGCAAATTTCACTGTTTTCAAAATGTCTTTTATAACATGTTATCTTTTCTTTTAAGCCACTCAAGTTTCATGCATTGCTTTTGGTTGTCTCTTTCGAGTTTTGAGGGGTGCAGCGATGGGGCTGGATGTGTAACTCTGCTGTCCTGTGTGTTGTGTAACAACAGCAAATGTATCCGCTGGGTGGAAGGGACCGTCAGTGAAGGCTGAGTGCTCCTGGCTTGCAAAGCGCAGGCTGAGGCAGGGAGGAGAGTCAGCTTTCGGAAGGGCCATTAAATTCGGACAAACAGTCAGCATTTTCTTTTTCCGTGTTAGGACACCCAGAAAATAATGCTATTTCCACAACACCCTGGGGTAAAGCGAAAGAGCTCCAGCTGCCTCGGGTGCCCGGTGCTAGGGGACCCCCATTTGTAGTACACCTTGAAAATGTTGGGACCAAAAGTATGGCAAGTATGGTTTCCAAGTTTCTTTATGCCCCAGGATATTCTTATTTTCAACCCCCATCACTTAAGGTAACCTGGTGTGTTTCTTCCCCAGGCTAGAGCCTTGCTCTGTCCCCTTTCAGCAGCCACATATGCACACCGACCTGGAAACACAAGGACAGAGGTGGCCTTTTCCACAGTATTTATTCAGTCAATTAGCTACATGAGGGGGATAAACAAATTAGTCAAAGTTTTCGGGGGAGGCATAAGGGGGATGAGTGGAAAGGTGGGGGTTAAACAGAACATAATCTTATAAATGGTTCGATGGAAGATTTACAAATATCTATTAAAAAAATAGACTCCTCTGAGGTTAACAGAGGAAGATCGTGGATCACCAGGAGTGCAATAAATCAGTGACTTCTGTTCATTGCACCCCCCACACCAGTCTCCAAAAGTGGCTTGCATTTCAGACTGTCACGATTTGCAGACACTCACGTGATACATATTTTCAGTGCCGACAAAGACTAATACTGACTAACATGAATACAACGCAGAGGACCGAGCACAAACCAGCTATCACCTGGTAGCAAAAACAGACTTCTGCTGATGTTAACATCAAAATTAAAGATATTCAAATAAATTAGGCTAATACATTAGAACTATTACTCCTAAGGTCCTAAAACCAACTCCCGATGGCTCCTGCGCATGACTCGAAGGCCTGAGGGATCCTATGAGAGCCGGAAGGCATATGTCATTCAGAGAATGTGCACTTGGCCTGTGACAAGGTTCAACAGCCAAGTACAGACTTTGTCGTTTATCATTTTTCATTCACGGTTGACACTGTTAATAGCAGAACAAGACCCCCCTCGTGATAAATCTGGAAAATACAGGTGAAGGGCAGGGCTCGAGGCCGAAGCAAATGACGTACGGGGAGTAATTAAAAAGAGGCTATGAGAAAAGCAACAGCCTAAATGAAGAAAACATTTTAAAAACTGGTTTGTATATGTCTCCCTCCTAGAGAGTCCCACAGGAGGGCATTCTGGGGACTTAATAACAGGACCGCTGTCCTAAAGTGAACTCGGTCTGGTTGATTAGTTCCAGAAGCAGCCTGGCTCCCGGGAGTGGACTGCACACAGCAACCGCACTGAGACTTTGCTAATACCTTTGATTCAGGCAAATACTAACCTAGGCTCAGCTGCCCGCTACGCTGGGGACGGTTGGCTCCTTCCCCGTGGATCTGAACGGATCTCCTGCAGCTCCTGGGAGTCACTGGCGGGCCCACAGGAACAAGTGAAGTGCGACCTGGTGGACTCGCAAAGTCCCACTTCCAAGAATACCTGTGTGATTCACCGTAAATTTGGGATGGAATAATCAGGACTAAAATGCAGGTTATAACAAGTGTCTCCAATGGTGCAGTGATTGGCATTATTTAATCAGGAGACTCAAAGTCCAGGAAGCCAGATTATTTTACCTCAGTTCTGCCCGAACAATGCCATGCTTCTGTTTTCTTCATCCTAAAAATATAAAATGCCACCGAGCTAAGAATTAGGTGGGAAAGTGCTTTTGAGAACAGGGACTGAAGGGAAGACAAGAAACCATTTCCCCCTCCGGGGAGTTTTAAGATGGTAACATCAGGATGCGCCCCTAAGCTGCTCAAATGTCAGGAGAGCCCTTGAGAGATGCTGGTACCGACTAATAGATTTTAAAATTCGCATACAGTTCTGCATCACATTTTAATTCCTCCCCAACCCCATCCCAAATAAGATGACTACAAAGATGATAACTGTTTTGTGATTCCAAAAAACAAAAGCCATAATATCAGTCAAAATAACAGCATCGAGACAGCATTTCCAAATACTGCAAGACAAAGCTACATCCCTGGAGCCTGCACGTTTCGTTTTTGTGTTTTCTTTTTTGACCAGCCTCTGGAACAGGCCTCTTTCATAGCCAATATTACTAAAGTTCCACATTGACCTTCATACTGCGAAACTAGATCTGCTTTCCCCGAGTACCCTGAAACCTTCAGCTGCTCCTTCCCGCCGGGGAGCGGAATTTGGATCCGTGCTTGGAAAGGAGAGCAAAGCGCAGGCCAACGGGCGGGCCTGGGTCGGTTCACTGCTCAGAAGCGCAGATGCTGTTCACGCTGTGCTCCTCCTGACCTCTTGGCGAAACGGAACGGAGGGATGCAACGTTGAATGGGTCGTATATTGTTTTTAAGATGCTAGTCCCCTGCAGATCGTCCTCCACTTTGAAAGTGTGATTCCGCGTAACTGCGTCTTCTGCGCGACCCCGAGGTCACGCTTTCTTTTTTCTGCTGCTGATCCTGCTTCCATTCGCAGCATTCTACATACTCTGAAGTTACTTCAATATCTAAAAAAGGCTTTTGGGAGAAATCTTTTTTACGACGCCGTTTTATTTCGCCCTCCATAGAGTTACTACGGACATTAGGGTCAAAGGCCTAAGAATCAGGCTTTGGTTTCCATGTAATCTGGGCAGACGTTGGAATTGCTTTGATAACACAGTCGAACGACTGCACAAGTTCTATTCTTTGTAATTTGAAACGACACATTTACAAAGACAAAGTTTCCCCTTCAGTAGTTATAATCTGCATTACTCAAGGTTATAATGCTGCAAAACTCACCGAAGAGGGACACGAGGGAGAAGTGTAGGAAGGCGTAAGACACTGGAAGCTGAATCAGAGCACAATACCAAGAACCTTGGTTCTCTACATTTGTCTATAAGGCAGGTGGTCCAACTTTTTATACAAGATCTAAAACACGGTGCTTATTAAGAGGTAGAAAGTACCAAAACAGTATTTTTAAACAATCATTTTGCTAACCTGTTACAAAGTCGTACTGCTGTGTGGAACACATTGGACGTTTTACACTAAGCTGGAAAATTCCACACTCAGTAGAGATGCGGTCACACAGGGCGGGGAAGCCAGGGGTGGTGGAAGCAGAAAATAGTTTCTTAATGTCAGGGGTTCAGCTCTCACTGAGGAGAAATTTCCTACTGTAGCTCTGGGATTTCACTCTGACATTTAATTAATGGGGGTTTCTTGGGTTAACAACGGTTTCTCTGAGTGACGGTACAATTCTGCACAGAAGGCAACGGAACTAGAGGGAGGGATGAGCTCAAGTGCTTCCTCTTCATGAAGGCGCCATATGCATCTTCTATAAAAACACACATTTCACTAGATGCATGCCCTCCTCTCAACCATCAAAATGCAAATGCAAATATTCTTCAGACTCCAGCACCAGCAGGATGGCTCTGTATGAGCAAGTCAAGAGCTGTCCGAGGCAAAAAAGAGGTTGAGCTACCAAATCAAACTTGGGTAGCATCCGCACGGGTGAGTAGTCCTGGGCATTCTTCTTATGTCTTAGTGCACCTGGGAGACATGGGTTGTTTTTTTCCCCCAACATAATTTTATAAGGCTTACATTTAATCTGAATTTTCCTAACCTTTGGAAAATTAGTGTTAAAGCTTCTTTTGCAACCCACACATTAACATTCAACCTTTCATTTTTATTAAATACTTTATATATAAAAAAAGAAATATCAAGGTGTTCTACATTCGTATAAACAATCATGATAACATTGGAAATTGTATAGAACCCTAACCGAAGAAAAGATATACTTGAGTACTTACAATGCTAAGCTAAGCACAGTGATCATTCTAGATAATGTTTTCTAAATATACGGACACAGATCTGTGGCCTGGGAAAGCCAGCACAGGAGAAGCACAGGAACGTATCACCTTCTTCCCCCTTTTCACCACAAGACAGGATGGTCCAGTTTGGAAAAACCAAGATCTTTCCTCAGTTCCAAATAGGTGCCGTTGCTCACCCAAGAGTCATCATCAGATTTCCTGTGAAAGACGAAAGCATGTCTTGGAGGCTCCTGAAAGCACTGTCCTCTCTCCCTCCCCCTCCCTCCTCTCCTACCCTGTTCTCATTCTCACAGGCGTGCAAGGTCCCCACAGTCCAGGGCTGGAGCTGTGAGGAAGCTGGACACCTGGAAGCCTTTTCCTCTGTGTTTTTTTTTTTAAATAAATACTTTTACTGATTTTTCAGAGAGAGGGGAAGGCAGAGGGAGAGAGAGAAACAGCGATGCGAGAGTGAAACACCGGTCAGCTGCCTCCTGCACGCCCCTGCCGGGGACGGAGCCCTCCACCCGGCCCGTGCCGGCCCCAGCATCCACCCGGCCGCCTTTCGGTGCAGGGGACCATGCTCCAGTGAGCTGGCCACCGCGGCCGGGGCGGGAAACCTGTTTCTCAGTTCTGACTTTGACTTCGAGAACTCAGAGGCTGTGGAACGTGCTGCCTCGGTGAGAAGGCAGCTACCCCCTTTGGTGAGACTGAGTAAAAGCTAACCAACCGGGCTGTTCGTATCAAGCGATAAGTTAGCGTTAAAAACAGCAGGAGCAGGAAGCCCCGAGGGTCTGGAGGGACCGGCCTCGGCTCGCTGTTCTTTGCCGAGACAATCTGTGACGTGAACCAGGAGCAGAGGGTGCAGCAGGGTGAACGCTGCGAGGCCCCCCCACCCCTGCCCCCCAGGGCTCCTCGGAGGCAGTCGTCTCAGCAGCGTCATTCTTTCAGGGAAATTGCACGCGCACACACATGCACACACACGCACACATGCACACACTCTCCAGACACAGCAGGCGCCCCGGCCCCCGTCTGCCCGTCACCCGGCCGCGCACCTGAAGAAGCGCGGCCGGTGCTCCACGTTGCTCTCCTCCAGGACCCGCCGCCTGTCCCTCTGCAGCTGCTCAATCCTCTGCTTTTGCGTCTCAGCTGCTTCTATGTTCCCTTCTTCCAGGAACCTGAGGCATCGGGGAAAACACAAAGGAGGCTGAGTGCCAGGGAAACGCCACCCTGTGACCGCTGAAGCTGCACGGGTCCGAGCTGGGCACTAAACGCCTTCCCACACGAGGCTCCTCTCCGATCCTTGAACCAGTGTTTTGAGGCCGTTAGGGGAGATACTGTTTTTAAATTGGCGATATACACATGGTTCAAAAAATTATATCTATAAGAAGTAATTTGGAGCCAAGTTTCTCACTCACCCTAGTCCCTAAGTCTTTCTGTTTCCTCCCCATCACACTCACCGTCACGCCACCACAGGTAGCCCACTGTTACTAGTTTCCAGTACATTCTACTAGAAATTCTTTACCCATATAAAGCAAACATTAATATAGATTCTTGCCTCTCCCTCCCTTTTGAAAATATGAATGGTAACATGCTGCATGTCCGGTCCATGCCGTGGTTTCTGTTTTACTTTTTACTGAACAATACAGGGTGGAGCGAAAGTAGGTTTACAGTTATGAGTACTCAAAACACAGTGCTCATTCTTGTATTATTATTTATTAAGTATTGTATTATTTTCCATACGAACAACTGTAAACCTACTTTTGTCCCACCCTGCATATCTGGGAGATCTTTCTTGGTAGTACACAGGCATATTCATTTTTCAATAGCTGCGTAATATTCAATTGTGTGGATATATCTGAATTTATTTAAACAATTGCCCACTGATAGACACTGGGGATGTTCCCAATTTTTTAATGTTACAATTGATGCTGCAATGAATGACCATGTATATCTGTCATTTTGCACACAGGTTAGTGTACTTGTAAGAAGAAATTTCTAGAAGTGAAATTGCTGGGTTAAAGGGTGAGTTTGTAATATATATACAACCAAACCACCCTTTATGGGGATTATAAAATTTAATTGCCACCAGCAATGTTATTCAAGTGCCTTTGCCCCAGAGCCTCAGGGTACATCACACTTTTGAATCTTTGCCATTTGATAGGTTGGTTAAGAGATGGTATGTCAATGGGGTTTTAAGAATGTGCATTTCTTTGAGTGAGATGGAGCATCTTTTCATGTTTAAGGGATATCTATCTGCATTTCTTATTTTATGACCTGTTCATTTTCTATGTCCATTTTTCTAGTGAGTTGATCTTGATTTCTAGAAGCAATTCATGAAATGAGTTGCAAAGACAGATTTCTCAGTTTGTTATTTATCTTTTGACTCTGAGTATGCATTTTATTTACTTCACCATGAAGAAGTGTTGTTGTTATTGTTGGTGTGTGTGTGTTTTAATAAAGTCGAATTTCACCCTTTTTTTTCCTTCTAGGATTTGAGTCTTAATTAGAAAGGCCTTAGGGAAGAGATAATTCTTTCCATTTCACAGAGTAGGAAACTGAGGCTGAGAAAGATTAAAAGACTTTATATGTCACACAACTTGTTGGCAGCAAACAAAGAATCAAAAGTTAGATCTCAGTGCATCAAAATAATTTAAATTCTAGGGGTGGAGGAGGTGGATGCCTTTTACTCTTTCAAATGCACAGTAAGTTTTATTCTTATTGAATACAGGAAAACTTAAAGAGAAACATGCTTTTGATATTTCAATAGAAATGGGGCTGCACTGATGACTAAAAGTCATACCACGCATAGCTCTAAGCTGGCTCTTTTCCTTCCACATGGTTGCCTAAAGTCCCCTGCACCTCTGTTCCTGATGACAGTCTCTCTTTCTCTCTCTCAGGCTCCTCTGGTGGCCTGGGAGTTGTTAAGAACAGTGTTTATAGAAAGTTTTACATCTCTGGAGACAAAGATTGAAAAATAATCCTTACCTTTGGTCTGGCCTAAATCGGGTGTCAGTAGGTGGTAATAAAGTCTTCAACGACGGGTCAAGTTCATTTAATTCTAGTGCAAACTGCGTGAAGCCATAATATTGCTCGTAGCCTTTAGGCATGGGATCTACAAGGTAAAGAGACCATTCACTCCTATCTTGCATTTCATTTACGTTACATTTTAATTCCTTCACCACCCCCACCACCCCCTTTTTTTTTCAATCTCAGGCCAGCTATAATATTTCTCTCTCAGCTCTGAATTCTTCCATTTCTATTAGAATAGTTTGGCTGAAAAGAGGGGCTGAATATTTCCTTATAAATTTTCTTCTCCATATATTTTCTTCTACCTACAAGAATAAGGCCTCCTCTGTGTGGTCACACAGCAAATTTATAAAACACAGTGACATTTCTATACTGTTTAAGCTATAAAAATAATTTGTTACTAAAATAAACATGTTAAAAAGGACTCTAGGTCCCTTTTTCCTGACTAACAAGGGAAGGGGGAGAAAGGGGGAAGAGAGAGGGAGGAAAAGGGAGAGAGGGGGAGAGAGGGGCGGAGGGAGGAGGGGAAGAGAGAGATACATAGAGAGACATAGACTGGTTGCCTTCTGTAGGTACCCAGACCAGGGACCGAACCAGCAACCCAGGTATGTGCCCTGACCAGGAATCAAACCAGCAACCCTTTGGCGCACAGGATGACACTCAACCAACTGAGCTGCTCCAGCCGGGCTAGAGAATCCATTATTCATTTGAGAAATGTCAGATTCTCCTAAAGCTCTGTCTACTGCCTAAAATCGTGCTGAACCCCTAGCAAGCGGTCAATGTTATTCTTTCTTCCACACCTGGCCTTCTTTTCACTAACTCTTGCCCCTCCCAATCTTACATATTTTAATTTAAAACCATCTCAGCAGAAGCCAGGAATAAAGATGGGTTATACGGGTGGAAACAATGCCGCTGGAAATAAAGGCGACAGAGACAAGGGGACAGAAAGAAGTAGGGCTGTTGGATCACTGGCATTTCACAGGCTGGGACCACAGGGCTCTCCAGCTGCGTGCGTGCCAGAGATGGACTGAAGTGATTCAGCCGTCCTCGGGCTGCCACTCCCAGGACAGGCCCAGACTGCACAGGCCCGGGGGCAGGGTTGCCTCTATCTTCCAAAAGGTGGGGCTACCACTGCGGCTTCAACAGGCCAGCTGCCACCACCCTAAGCCTTGGGGACCTGGAGGGCAGGGCTGCTGCCCCAGTGGGCTCAAAGGGTGGGCATTGAACCAAAGGGGATTACTCTGGATTCTTAAGATCTGATGATGTTTTTCCCTTGCCAGTTTTAGGCGTGCCTGGGGCCTGCCGTCCCTTCCTTCTTTCCTACGTCTCCCCTTTGGAACACTGACCCTAGGCCTGCCCCACCACTGTACTGGGGAAGCACATTTTGGTTTCAGAGGCTCACAGTGGGAGAGGATGCATCGTACCTCAAGTCTCACCCATTCCTGACTTAGATGATACGTAGATGAGACTTTGGACGTTAGAGTTGATGCTGAAATGAATTAGAGACTTGGGTGGCTATCGGGATGTAATATATATATTTTGCATGTAAGAAGGACATGAATTTGGAGGGCTAGAGGCAGAATGTTATGAACTGAATGTATCCGCCCAAAATTCACAGGTTGAAGCCCTACCCCCACTGTGGCTGTATTTGCAGATGGGGCCTCTAAGGAAGTAATGAAGGTTAAGTGACGTCAGAAGGGTGGGGCCCGCATCTGGTGGCTGTCTGCAAGCCAAGCAGGGATCCCTCACCAGAACCCAAATTTGCCAGTACCTTGATCTTTAATTTCCCAGCCTCCAGAACTGTAAGAAAATAAACTTCTATTGTTTAGCCACCCAGTGTGTGGTATTTGGTTATAGCAGTCCAAGCAGATTCATGTAGGTGTATTGCCCTGGCTTGAATTCCAGCTAAAAATCAAGCTAAAAATGCCCATATTTACATATTGGGTAAATCAAACATAGACTAATAAAATCACCATAGCCTGGGCTCTCGTCATTCCATATACGAATACAAATGCTTCCCGTGAACTTTACAGCAGAACCATTTTTTTGAAGTTTCAGAAGTCCTTTTTGTCAAATTTTAGGTCTAATTCTCTGTGTGTCCCAAGCACGAAAATCATATCAAAGCTTCCCAATGTGCCTTCAAAAATCAGAGTGAAGACAGTGGTTTTCTCTGGAGATGGACCAGGGATGCTCACGGCCAAGGAAGAAACAAAGTCAGTGNTACCCAGTCTCGATCCACCAGAGTGAAGACAGTGGTTTTCCCTGGAGATGGACCAGGGATGCTCACGGCCAAGGAAGAAACAAAGTCAGTGAATAACGAAGACGACAAGAACAACAGCTTTTACAAGTGTTCTTTTGTCAAGGTTCTACTTGACCATCCAGGAAGGATGGCAGCTCTGCTCTGTGATACACACTTCAACCAAAGGAAGGTGATGTTTCGCTCGCAGTCTCATGTGTGCCCCTGCACCTCTGCAGCCAGGAAGGCGGCCGCTGGAAGGCGGCCACAGGGCCACCCCTGTGGTGGAGGAGGGTGTGGCTGCCACCCACCAAAAGAGACACCGTTGGCTGCCTCTTCCGCGGTCACCTCCCTTCCTTACTTGCCAATGGAAACTGCTCTGGTCAGGTGGCACTCTGTCCCCTAGAGGATGATCCAAACCCGTCTGACTCTCCCCTGCCTACCCAGTTGCCCAGGATTGGTCTGGGATGGGTCTCGACCCCCTTCAGGCTGACAAAATGTAAATACGCATTTGCTGGGGGACCCTAGGAAACGCCTCATTCCTGAGAAAAGAGGCCCAAGTGGAGAAAGCCCGTTTGCCCTCTTTTCCCTGCTTGGTGAGCTGTGATGGGGGGATAAGGTATTGACCCGTGACAACCATGTACGTCCACGAGGGAGACATCACTGTCATACTGGGAGTGACATAAGGTGCCCTCAAGGATCGGTGCTCCTGACACAGGCAAGCTGCCCCTCTCCAACCTGGGGC